GCATAGCTGAAACTCGACACTCAGGTAAGAAATAACTCGTACGAAATGGCTCGACTTGACTCGGAATTGACTTGGAATTTGTTTGGAAAGGCTTCGTCTCTTCATCCTCGGAGTAAACCTGAAAATACACCGCTAAACACGGACAAGTACGCAAAATTATAAAATAACACGAAAGACATAAAAACACACGGAAAATGATAAAATAGACCGGTCGACACTAAAACAAACCTAAAACCGACTCAATAACACACATAAACACATGAAAATAAACACAAAAACAAAACAAACACAAACGAACTCCAATTTAAAATGAACCAGTGAGTCACCAAACTAAACCGGAGACTGTTAGTCACTTAATTTCGATTGAACAGAAAACAACAAAATTTATTTTGCCCTTTAGGATTAGTGTACCATTTTTTATTTGAGTAATGCTATATGTACATAATATTGTACATAGGGATGTACATAACACTCACATTGAGTGGGACACACCAAAAATAAAAAATTAAATGGACCCCACTCCATGTGAGTGTTATGTACAACTCTATGTACATTTATTATGTAGACATAGCATTACTCTTTTTATTTTATTGACAAGTATAGTCTATTAAGTGATGTGCCTCAAATTGATGTACACTTTTTGGACATGTTAAATATGGCATACGAAACATGAAATTTATTTAGAAAAAAAGTACTAACAAGAGTTATAATAGAAAAATTCATTCATTATTTAGAGAGAGAAACAAATCAACATGTAACCTCCTGGTAAAAATTAAAAAAAAAAAAAATTATATGCATCAATTTGGTTGGGAACGAAATATTTTTTCGTATATATTATTTTTTTCTATAATCTCGATTTAAAACCACTACTTCAAGATGAACTCGGCCGTCCAAAATAGTCTCGACGTTCAGATATATTAATTTTTCGGAGAGCCCAAATCGGTCGATTAGGCCCGTAGGCCATGTCTAGTCTACCTTGTGTTTTCCAGTTTTTTCTAGTTTCACCCTATTGTAGTTCAGTGTAGGTCAAAATTTGAATTTAGACCATCTTCAATCTTCTACTCTGTTAGCATGGTCTGCTTTATACATAATCCACGTCAGCATGAAGACCATGAAGACCAATATAAAGACAACCCAGCCAATGGTCCACGTCAGCACCTCATGCAGCTCCCATGCATAGACCATAATGCCCCTGCAAGCATTTGAATTTTTTGCTGCTTTTTGTTTGTTTCCTCTTTTGGTTGTACACCCTTTTTCTCTTGGGTTTGTTGCTTTACTATAATCAGTTATGCCTTGGTTAGGTCACCAGCATGTTGGTATATATTCATGTAAACTCATTGTTAGCAGCTATGAAAAGTTATCTTCATTTTTCCTCTCTTGGCTAAGAACCCTAAATTGTTAAAGCATTTTTCTTTGATTTAGAAAGATGGTGTTGTTTGTTTCCAACATGGTATCAGAGCAGGGATAACTTGCTTTGAACCTTGTTTGAACAATGGCTTCATCATCACACACTTCCTCCTCGGGCCACGGCCAAAACCAGATCTCAGCCACCACTCCCATCCAACTCCATAATCAACTTATATCAACTAAACTTACAGATCAAAACCACCTTATTTGGAGGCAGAAGGTACTCACCACAGTTAGAGGACATGGCCTTGAGGGATTCTTAGATGGATCTAACCTGCCACCTACCAGATTTATACCTGGAGCAGAAGAAGGGCTCCTTCAAGTAAATCCTGAGTTCACAAGCTGGGAAAGACAGGATCAATTGCTGGCATCATGGCTGCTTTCTTCTCTTTCAGAGTCTATTTTGATTTCAGTGGTAGGTATGCACACCTCCTCTCAGATCTGGAAGAGTTTGGAGTCAAGTTTTTCAACTCAATCCAAGGCTAGGACGATTCACTACAGAATACAGCTTCAAAACCTCAAGAAGGGAAGCATGAGCATCAGAGAGTATGTCAATAAAGTGAAGATTTGTTGTGACACTTTGGTAGCTGGAGGACATGTGGTCACAGAGCAGGACCAGATAATGCATGTCCTGAGTGGTTT